CAGTTGTTAGCAATATTCCAGCAATACTCAACTCGGAGGACACGAGAATAGGATTCACACATTGTACCCATGTGGGAATTGAACCCGGGTCTTCGATGTGACGGGTGAACGCTTTAACCACCGGGCTACCACATTCGTCACTAATGGGTTCAAGTAGTGACATCTCCAACCTGCACCACACTGGAGTTTACTGTAAAAAAATAAAAAGGCGACGAGTCGTATGAATTGGGTGTCCGTGTTTAACTACAGGTTATACTGAACTAAATCACAATACGTAGTTTAACAACCACTCTTTAAACATGTTGACTTAAACTGAATGTGTCAACGGGTGTTTTCAAGCAGTTGACATTTTGTACGGAACTGGGCTTGGTCTGTATAGCTTCCTGTACTCGGAAAAGGAGACGGCTGAGGTTGTCATTTTATATATTTTTATAAACTTTAAGGCCAAACTATGTACATATGTATATCTAATAGCTGTTGATATGTTAGTTATTTTTTTAAATATAACGTTACTATATAAGTCAATGGGGAATTATTTGGTTTTGTATAACCTGTACAACGGTGTCTCAGTTGGTCCGACTACGATAAAACCGGCATTAGCCCAGACAAGCGGAAGCGCGCACACACATGCACGCATAGACACACAAAAATCTGAAATGCGACGTTAAACCACATTTCACCTCACCTCCCTGTAGGTAAACAGTATCTCAGTCCACCCCTGGGCCACCCTGAGCTGTAGCATGTGTTAAATGTCCGTGTATGTATCTTCTATCTCACTATATCACAGCTGGAGAAGTCATCAGTAGGGAAGTAGGGGGTGTTGACACCCTAACAAATGACAGAATGAATGATTATGCTACCAGCAGGTTATACATAACGCAAAACGTTGATAAACTTATATGCGTGGGAACTGTTCAGTCTGTTGAAGCATAAACATTCAGCTTTCTCACAATCACACATTTCATGGAATATCAGTTCAAACAAAATCACATGTAAATTTACAATGTATATTTTTATTGTGCATCAGACATAACAATATAAAGAGGATTAGAAGAAGAAGAAGAGCTTTATTCAGTATTTATGGCCACATGACCAAAAGTACAATTCAATAAGCAAAATAAAGCACATGGTCAGGCGAACAATTTACAATTTATACAGGTAAATATAGTTTAAGATAAATTGCAATATTTTTTGGGAGTTTTACATTCTTTGTTGCAAGCAGCTGAGTAAACTTTGATCTGGTTGGAGATATAATATAAAAATTGGGAATGTACAAAGAGCGTTGAATTGTTGTGAATAAAATGGACATACGAGTAAGAAATGATACTCATCTTGTATCAAATTACAATTACATTTATCACATTTAATGGAATCAGCATTTACCTTATTAAAACGGTTGTGTTGAATTTTAAGTTTATGACTCATGCATCTGAATTTAAATAAAACTCGTAAGTGATCTTTATTATAGCAAAACTCTGATATATATTTTCCGGTTCAAGTACAGATTTATATGACGAGTAATGATTTAAGAATGATGAAGAAGTGATTTTTGCATACCAATTCTGTATATCTATATCTTTACATCTCTGTTTAAAAACACTTATAAAACTTGTTACATCGCCACAATCTTGCGATAACCACACAAAAGAAAATCCAGAGTGAAATAACAGTAAACTAACATTGGATACCCAATTGCGACCACCATTGTCGTCGTATGTTTTTAACATTTCATAGCATGCCTTTGGAATACGATAACTTTCCATATTCAGGAGTCTACACCAGTACTTTATACAACGGGTGAAATACTGTACACAAAGATGGCTTCTACCTGTTTCACCGAGTACAATGTTTGAAGATACAGTTTTGCTAACACGAAGATATCTTTTGAAATAATAACTTTGTATTTTTTCAATGTTTGCACGATAGGTAAAACCCCATATTTCTGCACCATAAAGCAGAATCGGTGCAATTTTGCTATCAAATATAGTAGATGCCACATTCAAAGAGATATTTTGATATGTTTTGAAAAGAGAAAATATCAAAAATGAAGCCTTCCTGGCTTGTAAAGCTAATGTTTCACATGCTTTAGACCAGTACAATTTTGATGTGAAAACAATGCCAAGATATTTATAATGAGATAAAACCTTCAGGTTTGTACCATCATAAAGCCATTTTTCGTTATTTCGAAGATAGCCACCATTCCTGAAAACAATAATGCAGGATTTATCTAAGTTAACTTCTTGACCCCATTTGATACAAAATGATTTTAATGTATCCAGTTTTTGTTGTAAAACTATTACTGTGTCATCAATGAGAGTGACGTCATCTGCGAATAACAATAAAAGTATATCATTCATACCATTTTTCACAAATATTCCACGTAGGCCACATGCATTCATTTCATCTACTACTTCGTTGATAAAGAAAATGAACAGAACAGGACTGAGAATACATCCTTGTCGTAGTCCAGATTTTGTCGAGAATACTTCTGTTCGTACACTAGATATTTTCACACAAGCAGATACCTTATCATACATTGAGGATTCGTATTATTTTCCAATGTATACCTTTGGAGATAAGAGCATATAAAAGCTTGTTTCTGTCTATATAATCAAAGGCCTTCCGAAAGTCAATGAAAGCTGCGTAAAACCGATGTTTACATTTTCTTAAATACTTTTGGCATAGAGCTTGCAGAAAGAACATATTATTAGCTGATGAGTAATCGGGCCTAAACCCTGCTTGACATTCATGTAATATATCGTTTAAATATAACCAGATACGGATTCTGACTTCGAGGATAGAAGTGAATATTTTAAAGCAGTTTATAAGGCAAACATTGCTTCCTCATTAAGTGTTCGTAATTTGTAAAATACAGCACCCAACACCGTGCCCTAGATGCTCTGCATTAAAACACAACTGTATGAATTCAAACTTGAGGTATCCCCGTGAAGATCAGGGCTAGAATTGGTCTTCATCAACCAATGTTTGTCGTAAGATCGGGTACTAATGGGATCGGGTGGTCAGGCTCGCTGACTTGGTTGACACATGTCATCGTATCCCAATTGCGAGATCGATGCTCATGCTGTTGATCACTGGATTGTCTGGTCCAGACTCGATTATTTACAGACTGCCGCCGCCATATAGCTGGAATATTGCTGAGTGCAGTGTTAAACAACAAACCAACACGAGGCTCTTCCGATATTCTAATGTACCGGGCCACTGACCAATATCTCGTAAATGTCTGGCGAAAGATAAGGCGTTTGATGGAGTATAAAGGTATGACTGATTTATTTCGGGGAATTTATGGTCTCTGTGGTCAAAGGTTAAAGGTATAAACTTGGTTTGCATTTATATACGAGAATTTAATTATAGAAATGCTTTGTCTGCAGGTTAACACCTGCAATAAATCACTGTTCCCCCTGTGGTTAAATGTAGGCTGGCTATTGATTCGTTATCGATTATGTTCAGTAGTGTGTATACTAACGGAAAAAAGTAACTGTGCATAACACAAAATTGTATGAAACATTTTTTTTGTTGAAAAGTTATAAAAATAACCCTATATAAACACGTAGCAAAGCATGAAATTTGATGTCACGTATTGCGCGTGTCACGTACACTTTGTGCACAATTAATTTAGTTACTTTTGCATGTTTTGTTACACCTGAAGTTGACACACCTGATATTGAAATTGAAATTCTAGCCTCTGAAGGTTGTAGAAAACACGTTAATATCAACCTAAACTGCGCGAACGTCAGGCCTGCATCAACGCCAATGGTGGACACACACAATACTGTATTTGTGAACTGACGTTTGACACCACATCTCTTCAAAGACATGTCAAGAAGCCTAGTGTCAAATCATACTGATTTCGATATCATCCTGTCAACAGTTTAAACAGTGATCAAGGAAAACACCACAAATCATGTTATTATCTTTTTGCACCAAAAATGGCATAGCCTCAAATAATGAACAGTTACTGTATTCCAGTAGTATATATATACACATAGATCCCAGAACAACTCATAGAACAACTCTAATATATCCAAGATACTTTTATGGATTAAACTTCTTTTTTAATTTCTCTCACGACGTTTCGAGACCATTCCAGGTCCCTTCATCAGGTGAACTCATCAGTTCACCTGATGAAGGACCTGAAATGGTCTCGAAACGTCAGTTCACCTGATGAAGGGACCTGGAATGGTCTCGAAACGTCGTGAGAGGAATTAAAAAAGAAGTTTAATCCATAAAAATATCTTGGACATCAATGTACAACTTCTAAATGCCACTGAAAGACAACTCTAATATAGGTCTAAACTTCAACAAAATGACCATTAAGTAAGAACTGACTACTTACAAAAGCGAACCCATTCAAGAAAGACTAAAAAAACAAAATTACTGACCAAGTAAGTCAATAATTAAGTGGAAGACGATTGTTTGCTCTCGTAAGACAAACAGAGGGAGGGGGAGGGAGAGAGAGAGGAGAGAGAGAGAGAGAGAGAGAGAGAGAGAGAGAGAGAGAGAGAGAGAGAGAGAGAGAGAGAGAGAGAGAGAGAGAGACTAATTATAGTAATTAGGCACCCATTCAAAGATAAATCTCACCCCTACCAATAACACCAAAATAATTACGTTTAATACATGCGTATACTCATAACCAAAGATCCACAAGGGTGTCAGAACTGGAACCAGATGAACTTGAAAGTTAAAACAAGTTCTTGCAATTATCTGTCTGGGCCAAAAGCATTCACTGAAGAGATGTCCAACGTGAATCGACACTGATATTCATGCAAAGCCATGTCTGTACAAGTATGACCCTGGAATGTTTACTTTTGAATTTATTGGTGAATGTGAACATTCAAAATGTCTTACACGATACAGAGTGTAACCTCCTTGTGACTCCATGACAGACAGCTCTCCTCCTCATACTCCCAGTCAGCCTCCTGATCCTCTGATGGGGCAGTCTACGCCATTCCTGGTGTAAAGCAGTTTCCAATTGGGCCAGGTTCTGAACAGGAGGATTCTGCACACGACGACCAATCATGTCCCAGATATGCTCCAAAGGGTTAAGATCGGGCCCATCCAGTCGTGAGGTGTGTCATAGGCTGCTTAACTAAGTTCTGTGTGTATATGTTTTGGTACACTGTCAGCCGCATGCTTGAAAGATGTAAGGCTTATTTAGTGATAACTGCACATATAACTGTACATTTGTATCGCAGGGAGAACTGGTTTTCTGTTTCAGAATCAGGGTGCTTAAGTAAGTTAGGTATGTGTATATTCAACTATCGATAATCGAAATATCTAAGGCTGCATTCATTGGCAAGGGTGGACTGTGTTGTACTTGTATATGATATCCAGATGTTTTAAGAATGCTAACGTAAACACTATATCTGAAGTTTAAACATTGCTAAAACTAAATTATATGGTGTTTATATGGAACCATTCCATTATAAAATAGCTATATATGTGCGTGTTAAATATATCATTTCTGTTCACATTGACAACCTCAAAGGATGTGTCGAGAATTTTTACAATTTTTACAGCAATCAGATTGCTTGCTTATTTCACTGCGGGTCAGGCGATCGGGCACGACACAGGCCTCTTTGCGATGAATTAATGTACGTAAACTCATTAAGACACTTACACCAAACTGTTATAATGAGTTTACGTCCAAAGGAATGGCGATTAGCGCGCAGACAGCATCGATTCATCATGTTTTCATACGATGAAATAAACAAGAAAATCGGTAAGGTAGTGGTACAAATTCTGAGCTGGGATTATGGTTCGGAATCGAGAAATCACTTTTGGATGGTAGCTCACTAAGTACAGCTTCGACTTTTGTGATGTATGTCTAATTTTGACACCATGTAAGTCAATATTAGCACTAATTCTCCTTGTTCCATGGGAAGCATGTCGTTTTTCATTTTGATGTCTTCTTCCTCTCATCCTGAAAAAAGGACAATCATGAAGATGTGATTCTTCTCAATTGGAATCTAAATCTCCAACAAAGTAGTGAAGACTATTTATTATCCATGCAACTGACAACGGATGGTGGAAAATGAAGAGGACTTCTGTTGAAAATCTAAAGATTGTTATTAGGTAACGCCAGCCAATTTGCAGAACTAAGACAATGTTATAAGGTAGGTTAGGATCTGTTTGATCGGCAGTTTAGAAGTTAAAAATACCATGCAACATTCCGGCACAGATTCCTACACCGTTATTGTTTGGCAATGGCATAAGAATCCATACAGTACATTAAGAGTGAGTGAGTTTAGTTTTACGCCGCACTCAGCAATATTCCAGCTATATGGCGGCGGTCTGTAAATAATCGAGTCTGGACCAGACAATCCAGTGATCAACAGCATGAGCATCGATCTGCGCAATTGGGAACCGATGACATGTGTCAACCAAGCCAGCAAGCCTGGCCAGCCGATCCCGTTAGTAGCCTGTTACGAGAAGCATGGGTTACTGAAGATCTAACCCGGACCTTCACGGGTCAGAACATTAAGAAGTTGTCATCCTAACGTATCTTGCCTTTATAGGTAGATTAGTTATATTACTGGGTTTAACAGAGCTGTCAAGGAAATAGTATTAATGTAGCAACATGTGTGCAACAGACTATGCTCATACGCTGAATGCATTTTTCGGCCAAATGGCAACAGGCTGTAAATAATCAAATCTGGGGCAGGCAGTTTTCTGACCGACATGAGTAACCATGTCTCTTGTCCAGTCAATCCATTGTTATAGCATTCAATGACAAGCATAGCCTTCCTATTCATACCCTAGTACAAGCAGCCGCACATACACATACACACGCATGCACGTCGTCATATGAGCGAAATATTCTCAAGTACGATGTTAAACCCAATTTCACCTCACCTCCTATTCATACCAGGACACACATACAGAATGATCTTTTTGACTGGCATATAGAAGTTGATGAATAATAAGAGGGGTAAGGTACTTTATGGATACTTTATATTATGATGTGACTTTTTGTGACTTTTTTTGCTAGGGTGAAGTACTATAATAATATGTGCATTTATAATGCGTTGAACTTCATTCACTAGGTGTTAGTTCATAGCGCTACACACATCTTGTTACCAGATAATTTCAGCTGAAAGTGAGGCGTTAGAAGGTTAATAGTCATTTTTCCCACCGGGTATCCATTTTCTGCTGGGTGAACAGAGGCCACCCACCCAAGGACTCTCCGCGCTCAACGTTGCTTAACTTCAACTGATTTGTGACCTGAACTTTATGCACAGGGCCACACACCACCACTGTCACTATCACATATATGTTCACTATCACATATACAGAAATACAAAAAACCGAGTGTGTCCATTTTTGTTTAAACATGTCATACTCACTTGTATCGTTTTGCGGCATCCCTGATTCTTTACAAACACAATAAAAAATTGTAATCATATGATCGATCATAATCGACTTCTTAGCCGGATAAAATGAGAGTAAATGAATTTAGTTTTATGACACTTTTTAGCAATATTTCAGCAATACAGTGGGAAACACCAGAAATAGGTTTCATGTGGGGAATCGAACCCGGGTCTTCTGTGTGACCAGCAAACGCTTGAACCACTGGGCTACCCATTTGCCCAGTATAATGCAAAAAGTCAAAAACATTCTGTGAACCCTATAAGACATGCAGATGTAATGTGTAGATCATGCTCAAGCTATGTTTAGAAGTAATTGCAATCTGATTTTACAAGTGAGTCCGGTAATTCTGCACGCCCGGTAATTCTGCGCAGCGGAAATAGTGTACTTGCGTATCGAAGGTAAATATCGTCTGCTACCACATTTACGCTTGAAATCAGGACATTTCTACAAGGGACTGGCTTTTAATCACTAAACGTAAGTAGATAACAGTAATTGACAGATAAATTGACAGTTTATGAAAATTCGTTTTCTTCAGACTTTTAAACCTTTTTCCTCCTTACTTATAATTGGATTTAATATGAAACACACTTTTTTGAAAATAGTCTGGCCCTGTACGCTTCCATTCTTCGGATCTCCATCTGGATGTTATGCGAATCAGTTGCTGCGCAGAATTACCGGACAGCAAGCGATGTCGTCAGAACGCCGGTAAGGTCAACCGTATGGCATAATGCAACGTTAGAATCTTATAGTCGTCAATAAAACTTATATTTCTATTATCATGGCATCAGCTTGCTTGTAAACACTACATCAGTACACCGAGGCAAAGTGATGTCGTGTTTACAAGCAAGCTGATGCCATGATAACATATAGTACACCAACGTTCATGCCATGTTTAGGAGTAATAATATGTTGAGCATGTCAAAACAATACATGAGTAATCCAGTCTCCTGTACAACGTAATCTACGGCTTCCCTCTCGTTGGAGTCAAGCCATCATTGAAAATAGGGAGTATCCAGCAAACCAGTAGTGTGTATTCACAGGCAATGGGAAAACATTGTCTATAAAAACCTGTATATATTAATGATGCCTTACTGTCAAAACATTAATAGGCCTGATAGTTATATTTGTCTCCATGAAGATGGATTTCTGATGACTACCTACCTTTAGAGAACTGTCCCTGTCTTCAGATAGCTCTGATTGTACCATCTCAAGAAAAGCACTTGGAGAACTAAGCTCTGGCACGGTGTGGCTGGTGAAGTCACTCAAACCTGACAAGGAATTGTGAATAGTTATGGTTTTTGTGGAGGTGATGGGGTAACCTAGTGGTTAAAGTGTTCGCTCGCCACACCCAGGTTTTATTAATCACATGGGTACAATGTGTGAAGCCCACTTCTGGCATGGTGTTCCCAGAAATGGTTTTATGCTGTTTCTAGCAGTATTCAAGCAATGGCACGGCAGGGGACACCAGAAATGGGCTTCATACACTGAACCTATGTGGGGAATCAACCCCTAAGGCAGGGACAGCAAACGCTTTAACCACTAGGCCACCCCACATGTCGGAAATGTAGGTATTGGTTAATGTAAATAATGGCGACATGAATAGGTAATCTGTTCTGTGCGGATAAGTTTCTTTGCAACCTTTTGCATATTACTACCGTTGTTGATTCTTGACATGCTTTTTGAGAAGAACATATATATTTGTGAAGAAATGTTCATTCAGGGCCCAAATGCACGCAGCGATCTTAGTTACAATCAATCTTAGGCCCCTACAATCAACTTTACAATCGCCATACAATTGCCCTAATCCACTTGCACAAAGACTATCTTAGAGCGATTGTAAGACGGCATGTATTTAAGATCGCGATCTTAACTAAGATCGAACTCTTCAACGATGGAGGTACGAATTTCTGAACTCGACGCCTGTCTCCTCATTATGAAGAAGGTATGTTATTCCAACATTGAATCGGGTGGGACTAGTACTATGTATTATCGACTCGATAGTTATGTGGTTCACTACAGCAAATATCAATGTATCCGATGTTAAATCGGTTGTGCATTCTCCGTGTTGTTGAAGTGTCGAGGCCAACCGCACAGTTTCATGCAATATAAAAGCAATCTCCAAACGTAAAGCTGATTATTTGCGTGAAACAGACACTAACTTGAACGCCATTTTGTCACAGACTACAGTGATTTTAGCTCCTTACAATTGGTCCGGACCAATTGTAAGTTTCGATTGTAACTCACAATGATCTTAGCCTACAGCTGCTTTGCGCAAGTGGACGGCGATCGTAGCCTAAGCCTAAGATCGCGATCTTAACGATTAACATAGCGCTTGGACCGTTCTGTGCAAGTGGACCCATATCATTTGTGCTCAAATCAATTTCAGGAGTTTAATTAGAAATAGAGCCACCTTAGCATTTGTGCCCTTGTAAATACAGAAATTATGACCTTCACACCTCATTACGTTAATGCTGTTGTCACAAAACTAGTCTGTTTTGAAAGAATATGCACATCACAATTCACAACTTTGCCACTCATTGAAAGCACACAGTCATCTATGATCTAACCCACTGAGTCACCCAAGCTTCCACCAAATAACGAGTCAAACACAACTGGTAGTCAAGATCATGTTCCTTTTATACTCCTCTGATAAGTGCAAAATTGGTATGTTCTCCTGTCTGAATCTTCGACTACTCAATGCCATTTAAAACTGATTCAGCTGGAGAAATTGATCTCAGGAATGTGTCATATTTTGCCCAACCCATTCCAATCCTTTTTGAGCGATAACTGAGCCCCATTTCTCTCTCTCACACACACACACGTTCACAGTCACTATTTCAGTTCTCACTCTTAATCCCAACAGACCCTAAGCAAAGAGAGACAAACAGGAATCCAGGTATAGCTCAACCACCTACATTGAACTTTTGGCCTAACGTTTTGTAAACCAACTTTAGGAACTTCTCTAATCATGCTTTCTTCATAGCGTAACGCACATCTTCATAGCCTGTTGCATCTAACATTCCCTTAGTAAGTAAAATTAGGTTGAATGTACCTGATGTACTCTCTGAATGTGGTTGAAGATCAGTCAAACCGGTCTGGACTTGTCTCCCTTCACTTGCCATCCTTTCAGATGAGAAACTGGAACGTGGTCCATCATGACTCAACCCACTAGCATTTCCCAGGCTCTCTGACCCAGGCTGTGAGACATCAACAATACCTGCCTCCTGCCCACCACATGCTGGGTTATCTCCCCTTGGTTCTGCCTGACTGGGGATCGATGAGACATGAGTCCAAGGGGTCTTCCTTTCGGTGGAAGCAGGGGAACTTGGGTTATGTTGGGAATATGGAGGGGGTGAATCTTCTTGGTTTGGGGCAGCACTTGTCGGACTGTCATAAGGTGCCTCATTGTCTCTCTCTGTCATCCTTTCACGTTGGCCTCTTAAGAAACAAAAAAATGTTCATATTTTAAATCAAATGAAACAATATACAAATTGTTCTTCAGTGTTTAGAGCCAGATCCCAATTTGTAAATGAAATGTCAACCACCACAATCTTACAAACATGAAAAATGGAACATGTCACATTTGTTGACCCAAAAACCTATGCATCAAACTTTATTACATTTTGAAAACAATGGTTAACAGTGACCACAACAAGATTCAGCTTGCATTATGGCCGAAGTATATGCTGTGACCTTTACACCTATCACAAAGGTTCTTGTATTATATGCACATCGAAGTCCCAATAGTGACCATAGCAAGATTCAGCTTGGAGTATGGCCGAAGTTTATGCTGTGACCTTTACACCTATCACAAAACCGTTATGTATTGACAGAATATGCACATCAAAATCCTGAATTGTAGTCAATTCAAGGTCAAAATTTAAAATAGCACAAAACTGGAACATTATATATGTTAAGCCTCTATACTAGCTACACATAAACTAGGTTTTCTTTCGTCTAAACAAGGCTGGGTGACTGATAGCCATGAAGAGGTTTTCTTCAACATCTCTCGGCCTTACTGGTCTGGTGATTTTTGAGGAGATGATGATTACAATCTGAAGAAATGCATTTTTGAGCATGATAGATAAAATTTAGGTCAACATTTTCAATATCATTAGAAACTGTGACTTGAGCCCTACTACAAACTATACTCTGCAAAAAAAAAAGGATTAAATGCAAAAGTGGTGTTCAGGTGTGTTTTACTTGTGTATTGAATAAACAATAAACAGACCATGATAAATTGTTACTATTTGGCACAAGTCGTGGTCACTGACCAAGATTCATCATGGCACACGAGTGAATGAGTGAGTGAGTGAGCATGTTGTTTATGGTTCCCGCAATATCACAGCGAAGGACACCCGGAATGGGCTGCACACATTGTACCCATGTGGGTGTCGGTGTGACGTAACAAATAAAACTCTACGTTGTCACAGCCCAGCAGTTCACGTTGGACATTCATTTCATGTTGGCGTGTTTTGCCGCAACGCTCCCGATTCGGTTGCATAACGCCTGTTCTGTCCTGGAATGCACATAAAGTCACTGGCACTAGGTACCTGTTCTTTTATGGAACTCGCACAAAGACAGAGGCAGGGGGTCCTTCACACCTGTTCTGTCCGTGAATGCACAAAGGTCACTGGAACTAGGTACCTATTCTATTATGGAACCCCCACAAAGACAGAGGCAGTAGATACTTGACACCTGAATTCAAACATCCGTGTTCCATCTTGGCCAAAATAAAAACTTTGAGGCATCACATCTTCTCAGGAGCATCATTACAGCAAATTACTAGCAGACATACACTCATGTGACAATGTTAAGTGTTGAAATAAAATTTTGAAATGTAAGGATAAGGATGTTTAACCTTTGTTGAGTCAAGAATGAATGCTTGGGTTGACCCCTATGCTCTTTAAAACCTACCCGATTATCATCTTGGTATTTGATCCAACCTGCACGTTCTCGCAGTTGACAATGTTGATGTGACTTTGCTGACTCATGTTCACAGGTCCACGTTGCTGAGGGTTCTGTGGTGGAGGTGCAGCTGGGTGACCAGGGTAACGTGGGGCACCTGTGATGAAGTTGAATGAGAACATGAATTGGGTTTCGCACCATTTTGATAAGTATTTCAGTAATATTACAGCAAGTCAGTTTATTTGGAGGATTGCCATGATACATTTCTGAAATCAACAACTACGGACGGGGGTATATAACAGCACACTCTGGCAAAGGGATGCAACTCAGAACAGACCTCCAGGTCAACTATGAATTATGCCACAATATTCCAGCCATATCGCGGTGGCCTGTGAATACAAGGTGTATCAATGGCACGGTCTTTTTTGTCTGTATCGATACAAGATGACACACTCATGAAGATCCGGGTTAGAATTGATCTTCAGCAACCTGTACTTGTGGTAAGAGGCGACCAATGGGGTGGGGTGGTCAGAATTGCTGACTTGGTTGACACATGTTATGAGATCAAAACTGCATAGATCGATATTCATGATGTTGAAAACTGGATTGTAAGGCCCAGACTCGATTATTTACCGCCATATAACTGGAATATTGCTGAATATTATATGCCTAACATATCTATGCCTGTATGTATATAATGTGTGTTTATATATGTATGTGTGTGTGTCTGTGTCTGTAATGTATGTAGTAATGTAATGTATGTAACGTATGTAACGTATTTAATGTAATGCAATGTAATGAGAGAGAGCATTCGAGGCCCTCCAGGCCCCCATCAGACCCAAAAGAATCTAATTCTGGCAGCGTGTACATCGAATCAGAACCAATCTGACAAACAGCAAACCTGGAAGCCCCCGCTGTGGTGGCCCTCCTTGTGAAAGACCTGGACCTTCACCATGGTAGTGAGTGTGGTAATGAACGACTCTAGGCAAGGCAACACCTTGGGCCATTGTAGAGTCAGATGGTTGATGATTGTTCCTCTCACTCTCCGATTGACCAGGGGCTCTAGCATCTGAAGATTCATTGGTACTTCTAGATTGGATAGAAGACCCATTTATGTTGTTAGGTCTTTGTAAGTTAGTGGAATCGAAACTTTGATGGCCCACTTCTGGGGCTGGCGTTGCCATAACTTCTTGTTCTCGGTGACCCATAGCTGCTTGTCTTACTGCAATTGATACCGCAAGATTAATATTATCCGTAGAATCTTTGGGTGGTCTAGAGCCCCTTGTGTCACGAACAGTAACTCTTTGACGACTGTCCTCTCGCTCTCGTTTGTTTCTGTACTGTAAGTGATTTTGCAGTAACATTCTGATATCTCTCTGACCGCATCTGGAATCTTTGTCGTACCACCTCACTTCTTGGATGGTGGAGAGACCACCAGGCGGGTGGGCCTTCCTCTCTTTGTCTAAATAGAGAGGTCTCACACAGTATTTAAGTCCGGGATGACACTTCGATGCCAATCTAGTATTTCCTATCGCCTCATCCTTGATTAATTTTGCAACCTCTTCATCCTGTAGATTCTCAGTGGCCAACACAAGTATAAGTGTGGCTACCTTTGTTAGGTTTCTACCGGCTTCAGTGTGTGCTGATGCCCCTGGCAGATCAGTGTACAGACAAACTTTGGGTTTCTCTCCGTTTTCTACAGTTATTTCTTCCATTTGTTCCAATATTTCCAGGGCCTGGTTTTTGTCGTTTTCGGCAAAAAGCAAGGCAACATCATAGTGTTCAGTTTCATTCTGTACATCTGATGAGGTATCCAAAACGGCATCAACCTCTGTGTCATCATTTTCACCTCCCGTAGCCATCTTTTCTGTGAACATGATGAGGCAGTGAGTGAGTATGCTTTTACGCCACTTTTAGCAAGATTCCAGCAATATCACGGTGGATATGGGCTTCACACATTGTACTCTTGTCGGGAATCGAACCCGGGTCCACAGCGTGACGAGCGAACGCTTTAACCACTAAGCTACTCGTCCGTTCTTTGTGATATACTGATCTCTGTGTTGTCTTTTGCCACTAAACCTTTATAGTCGTGCTTTTTGGACTGTATACGTTACTATAATTAGTGCTTCTCTCATTTTAGAATATATCACAAGTAAACATTTAAATGTAATCTTGTACTTATGAATGACGGAAACAAATATTCTATTGTGAGGTTACCAGTTTAAATTATCAATGATTAATACCTACTTTATTTAAAAACAGTAGTTATTGTATGTAGGAATATTTCTTTATTCTTTTCGCACTCAGCCACGGAATGTTCAAAAATTGAACATGATTTTTTCAAAATGTCATTTCTTGATGGAATTCATATTCTGATGCTATGTCTCTATGCTGGAAAGGACTAGCAGCATATTTGAATATGTGTAAACAATTAGAAAACCATTTTCACCAGATACTTTTATAAACACATATAAACCATGAGCATATTTTATCAAAAACATTTACTGAAAAACATCTTTCAGCGATTTTTTTACCTGTTTCAGTGTGTGATGACGGTGTATGTGAATCTATTTACATATATATATATTTTTTATAAGTCACAATCATTATTGTTTTCACGCATTTTCTGGCAAAATGTCTCATCAAATATTTGAATGCTGACCCACAATAAACAAACAATTACCATATCAAATATTAGCTGAAGATTCACTTGCCACCAAATCCACCTAAATGGGGGGGGTGGGGGTGGGGGGTCGAGCTTCAGTGCTGCCCTATCTCAATAGGTTAAGTATTAAGGTCCGGGTTAGAATTTGTCTTCAGCAACCCTTGATAGTCGTAAGAGGCGACTATCGGGATCGGGTGGTCATAATCGCTGACTTGGTTGACACACGTCATCCTTTCCTAGTTGAGTAGATCGATGCTCATGCTGTTGAGCACTTGATTTTTTGGTCCAGACTCTATTACTTGCAGACCGCCGTCATATACCTGGATTACTGCTGAGAACAGTGTTAAACAACAAACCAGCCAACCCAAAGCCCCCTTACAGATGCATAGCAGGGTATGGGGAGGATAGTGCTTTTGGTCATACAGTCACATGGAGGTTATACTCGGTATTGACCTTGAATCGTGTAAGACATGCAAAATGACATTTTATATATTTACATTCACCAATAAATTCAACATTAAACATTCCAGGGCCATACTTGTACAGACGTGGGTTTGTATGAAAATCGGTAATTTTCTTTTTAAAATGAGCAATTATCATCCTAAATCAAAACGGATTAAAATGATTTTGTCGTTCTTATGAGTCAAATGATTATACGGGTCAGAAAAACTCATGTTTTTTGTCCATCCTGGTCACCACGATAAGTTTTATCAGTGACCATATAATAGATATTATATGGTCTCTGGTTTTATGTACGTGTTGCAAACCTATCATTGCAAATATACAGGGGTTGCTTAATTAAGTTCATTGTGTATATTTAGTCTATCTTTAAATTTTGCTCCACTTGTGACTACCAGTATATTCATTTTACTGGGTTTAAGGAGATTACATGACTAGATGACGCGCGGGACAGAAATAGAACCAAGTGCATGCTGACTAAAGCCGGCCAGCTGACTCAGCAGACCAATGACATTACTCTTACTTTCGGTTTACCCCGAGTACAGATCGTTACCTAATTTCGCTGGTGTTATTTTACACGCACATATCAATCGTACTAGATATCGACCTAAATCCTAGTATCTATACAACACATACCACATGTAATGTTAGTTTTCATATCAAGTCTCATGTCAGTTTCAAATGACAGGTTTGAGGAATGTAATAAACACACGGCTTGTCAACGTGTTGGTAGTACCAGGGATACTCTACTCTCTATAGAGTCTCCCTGGTAGTACGAGAGGACTGTGCTGGTACTGATTCTACAGCCCATATATTGATGTTGAGATTGATAGACATCACACATATTGAGATATTACTCGCCAAACATATGTAATGACCAAGTGATTGTTGTGTGAAATCAAGCACGACTGTACATAATTAGGGTTGGTAGAACATGGACCATGACGTTGTCATAAGATAGGTCGTTTGAAAGACTAGCGTGACATAACACATTCCGAATGGAATTATGTATAATAATACATCTTCAATGGGTCATGTATACTCTGTTCTCTAGGAATATAAACCAATTAACTTACCAATTAGGCGTCTATTGAAGCCCTCGAAGTACAGTAGGCTTAAATGGATTAAACTTCATGGGTGGGTGGAGCTGATGTGACCACGTGACCATGTTTTTGCACACATTCCTTCTCACCTAACACGGAAGTGCATCATGTTTATTTAGTGTATTGATCTCAATTGTTTATTGATCTCAATTGTTTATGTTGAGAAAACACGTATTGTACCTTACAAAAATCAACACAAAGCCTCATTATGAACGGAGACCTGTGAACTGAAGATATGCCTCGCATGCATATTATAATGTAATTAAATTTACCTTTACAAAACATGACAACATAGATAGAAATACTACTGATGTTACAATGACTTGAAGATGTAGGCATTGTATATAGCCGTTATCTTTTATTGGATAAAATATAGACCACATAGACACCATAAGCACTAGTCATAATTAATTGGGGTTAATATATATCCCACTGGCTTAAAACGAGCAATGTTTAATTGGGCTGAAGAAATACCCCAGTGGCATTATAAATAGTAGTACGTTTGTTGGACTAAATATAGACCATGTGGGCGTTATGAATAGCAGTATTCTTTACTAGGACGACTAGACTCCTTAGCTTTATACAAGTTGTAATGTCTCACTTCCTTTTCTTCTCCTCTTCGTCTTCTCCGCCTCGACCCCTTTCTCTGCTCCTCTTCTTGCTCTTCGTCTTCTGCTTCTCCACTCCTTCGTCTTGTCCTCCCTTCTTCTTCCTCTTCCAATCCTCTCCTCCGCCTGGGCCCTTCCTCCTCTCCTCTTCCCCCTTTTCCCATCCTCTTCGTCTTCTCCGCCTTCGCCCCTTCCTCCTCTCCTCTTCTTCCTTGTTTTTCTCTATATGAGCGGTATGCTCCTCTCTATGCTCCCCTTTCTATGCTCCTCTACTCCTTGTTTTTCTCTATATGAGCGGTATGCTCCTCTCTATGCTCCCCTTTCTATGCTCCTCTACTCCTTGTTTTTCTCTATATGAGCAGTATGATCCTCTCTATGCTCCCCTTTTCTATGCTCCTCTGCTTCCTTGTTTTTCTCTATATGAGCGGTATGCTCCTCTCTATGCTCCCCTTTCTATGCTCCTCTTCTTCCTCTTCGTCTTCTGCGTCTCCGCTCCTTTGTCTTCTCCTCCCCTCTTCTTCCTCTTCCTCGGTATGTCAGGAAAGTTTCCGATCGCACTCACAGAAAATGTCTCTCAGGCCAGGTTTATGAGCAATCTTAGAAAGAGAGCAAGAGACAACCCATGTGTATGGGTAGCTCATTCCAGTTCATGGCAGCCGCCACTTGAAATGAACGAAAACCACAGGACCATCAACTTCTATTTTTGAATCTGAAGTAAGTTTTTGTCACTGGAGCGAAGCTATCTGCATGAAAGATATGGTTTGAACAATTCTTCTGGATAGGCCTTCCTCCTCTCCTCTGGTAGACAAGGGTTAAAACTTTAAAGTTCACTCTAGCTTTTATGGGCAACCAGTGTAACTGTTTTAGAATAGGGGAAAACTTTGGTGCGTTGCTCACAATACGTGCAGCAATATTTTGAATGCGTTGCAGGTGGTTTAAGAGCTCCTGCGGGATGTTTAAAAGCAGGCTATTACAATAGTCTATTCTGGACAGAATGATGGAACAAACAAGCTAGGGCAGCTGTAGAATGTTCAGTCGGTAGATGCCGTATTTTTCCGATGGTCCGGATATGATGATAACAGGCCTTGCAGATCTCCGATACTTGTCTTTCCATTGAAAGGTCTGACTGTAAGTATACTCCTAGATCTTTTACAGAAGTTGAGAAACAAATCTGTGTTTTCCCAATAGTCAGATGGCTGATGTTCACCTTTGACACACTGGCTTTAGGACCTACAAGCACTGACTCTGTCTTGTCCTCATGTAGTTTTAGCATATTGCCATTCTTTTCATGACTAAAAGTCTTTACTGAAAGGCAGCAGTCCTCAAGATTGGTCAGTGGTGATGTATCGCTTGCTGTCAACCATCTGGGTGTCGTCAGCATATAGATGATGCAGTACCTGGTGATTGCTGATAACCTGCTCCAGCTGCCTGGTCTACAGGGTGAAGAGTAACGGTCCCAGCGCATAGCCCTGCGGTACTCCGTAGTCAACTGTAACGGCGGAGGAATGAGACGTCTTGATGGCTACTCACATAGAACCGAAACAAGGACAAAACGGTCTCTCCAATTTCATACTCATCTGATAGTCGATGTAGCAGTTTCTGGTGATCAACAGTATCAAAAGCTGCTGAGAGATCTGGCAGGACTAATGCTTCAACTTTGCCGTTATTCACTGCTTGTTGCAGTCCCTACAGTCAGCAGAGACGATCTACATGGGCGGAATTTTCACTTCATGCCATGAGCTTTGGGGTCAGGTATACATGGTTTAAACATATTTATTCCAAACAATGTACATATGATCCAAAATAAATTGAGTGACGGTAATATGGTACTAAATTGTTTACAATTTTTTTAAAAAGGAGTTTATGAAGATGTCTTCTTTCTTCCAATGACGTAAATTATTTTCCCATGTATATGTAGTCCATGCTCGAAGAGGTAACAGTACCTATGCCCGGTATACGCCCTGCTTCCAGATTGACAGACGGCAACATACAGAAGGTTCTTCAGTCTGCTTAAAAGTCACGTCCATGAGAAGCTTCACAGAGACCTTGCGCCATCTAAAGTTCAAACAGACTTTGAACTAGCTGCCATTCGTGCTGTGGAAGCCGAATTTCCTGCTGCAGAGATCAAGGGATGCTATTTTCATTTCACACAAGCCATCTGGCGCAAGACTAGCTAGACAGTATAAGGATGACCCCGATGTTCAACAATGGGTCCGGCGTGCTGCAAGCTTACCGCTCCATCCACAAGAGTTGGTGCAAGAAACGTGGCTTGAATCCGTGAATTCTTCCCCTGACCGTGCTGAGGACTTCTGTGATGATATGGTTGTGAACTGAATAGACTATGATGCCACATTTCCTCTCCACCTGTGGAACCATCACCAAACACGGGCCCCCGCACGAATAACAACCTTGAGGGCTTTCACAACAGACTCAATCAAACCATGCCTCATAACCACCCGAACATATACAGATTTATTGCCGTTATTCGGAAGATAGAGTCCGCAGATCGAGTCAAGCTTGCACAGGTTGACTTTGGGGCAGCTCCACCTACACAGAAACGGGTCTACAGGGAGGTAGAGAACAGGATCCAGAGATTGAAACTCAAGCAGAGAGCCATGTCACCGCTAGAATTCCTTGATGCCATCGGACACTTGATTAAGCTCGGCTTTACCTCATTTTCGGATTCTGTGACTTTGTCTTATTCGTATTTGTCCAGTGCTTCTCATGTTATCTTGGGGCGGTGGGGTAGCCTAGTGGTTAAAGCGTTGGCTCGTCACGTCGAAGACCCGGGTTCGAATCCCCACATGGGTACATTGTGTGAAGCCCATTTCTGGTGTCCCCCGCCGCGTGATGTTGCTGGAATATTGCTAAAAGCGGCGTAAAACCAAACTCAGTCATTCAGTCAGTCATGTTGTCTTATTCTCGGATTCAATATGGTTTGCCCATATTGTTGTAAATACTTTGATAAATCTTAGTCCAGTGCTTATAGTGCTTTGTTTAATTTGTTTTACACAAGTGTGGGTCATTCCATTCTAAACTCTCAAGGTAAAAGGAAGGAGATTAGATGTGCAATCATCTGTAAAGTTGTTTGTATAAGGGTGTGTGACTAATGGCACGTGTAACTAATGGGAGGATACCGTTAATTAGGACTCTTTTCTAAAGCGTTATATACATACTCGGCGTCATTAATAAAGGGTCAAGCTATTGGTAATACTATCTCTTAAAAGTTGTAAAATCTTCCTATTTGTTTGAAATATATAGAACTGAATGTTTTACAAACTTTCTTAACAATATGGAAAACCACACCAGGCCGTTGAAATGTCATTATTGCGTTCTTTAACGTCCGATACATTCTGTTACGAATGGCACATTTTTTATCTAAATTGTCAATATGAAATCCACCTGCCACTTAATGTCAATGATTTGCACGTGCAAGTCGCTCTATCCATGGAAGGTGAAGGACAATTCACATGCATTGATGCTTTTTCACTGTCGTTCACTGTAAAGATCCGGGGTAGAATTGGTCTTCAGCAACCCACGCTTGCCACAAAAGGCGACTATGCTTGTCGTAAGAGGCGACTAACGGGATCAGGTTGTCAGGCTCGCTGACTTGGTTGACACATGTAATCGGTTCCCAATTGCGCAGATCGATGCTCATGCTGTTGATCACTGGATTGTCTGGTCCAGACTCGATTATTTACAGACCGCCGCCATATAGCTGGAATATTGCTGAGTGCAGTGTAAAACTAAACTCACTCACTCACTCACTGTTCAGTTCCTGTTTGAAATCGCAGCTTAAATTGAGACGTTTTTTGACACATGCTAAAATCTGGTCAAACTCAGCGGCAGGTTGCTGTCCGCTTTGATGTGAGTCAGAGTGCTATTGGTAGACTGTAGCGCAGATTTAGGCCAATGGGTTAGTGGAATATGCACGTCGACCAGGTGGCCCCAGAGTCACAACAGTCCGAGATGGTAGGTACATGATTAACACTGCGTTACGTAACAGATTCCTTAACCCCTCATTTTGGGCTAAATACATGGTCACGATATAGACTGAGTGAGTGAGGTTTTACTAGCAATATTCCAGCAATATCACGGCGGGACACACTAGTTATTGGGCCTCACACATTGTGCCCATGTGAGGAATCGAACCCGGGTCTTTGGTATGACGAGTGAACGCTTTAACCACAAGGCCACCGCACAACCGACTCAACGCGTAGCCGAAAAATGTGCGCAAGGCCATCGAGCCTAGTCCTTTCTAAAAAGTGGCTTCGTCATTTTAGTTTGTTTTGGTTTAACAATATTCCAGCAATACGGAGGCAATCCATTCATATATGGGATACGATGACATGTGACCACCCGATGCTGTTACCCGCCTTTTACGACAAGCATGGGTTGCTGACGACCAATTCTAACCCATATCATCACAGGTTCGTACGTTAGACTGTGGACACAAAGTCA